TTCGCTCCACTGTCCACATTCGCATACTGTTCCAAAGTGCTCGCAAAGTCCGCTAGCTCCCAAGCCTGTCTTAAGTGATCTTCACGACGCCTACCCAGACGAGTATACATCGCACGTCTCGTTTCCGGTGTCGCACCCTCGCAGATATACTAAAGAACGAACCGATCGGGGCAGTTCGCTGCTCCCGCTACCGCGATCAAGTATTGATACTGATCAATCCACGTCATGTTGCTCGTCTTTCTCGCTTGCATCAATCTCGTTGCTTGGTCAACCGTTATTTCTTTTTCGTACACTTCAAGCATCTTGTTCATCAAGTGCTCCACTGTACACACTTCTGTCGCCCAACCAGCCTTCATTTTGTCGAAATATTTTCTGGCTTGGCCATCCACGTACCGGTTGAATGTTCTCAGCTTGAATTCTTCTGGCCAATCACCCCCACTGACAAGCTGTGCCACAACGAGCTCATCTAGAAACTGCAGACCCCAGTCCTTAAATCCAGATCCTAGCCCTGGGTATTCTTCCTTGCCCGTGAAACGTTCAATCGGTAAATTCATGTCCTTAACGCTTGGGATCTTGTATCCATAGTTTTGTGGTGGTCGAAATTCTCTTCCAGCCGCCGGATCCTGCATTGGTGGAAAGAACTGCTTTGGGGCTCATTTCTGCTGCGGCGGTGTCATGAATGGTGGTGCGGGGTTTGCTGGTGCAATCCCAATCGCTTCTTCAACTAAGCCCGCTCTTGCTCTACCATTCTTCGCCGCCAAGAACTGGCTGAATATGTTGTGAAAAGTATATCAGTGTGGTAAGAAGACTTTCCCGACGGTTGAGTTGAAGGGTGAGTACCCTTCGCGTACTACAGAAGGATTCGATGGATGACTTCGGCAGAGAGTGAAGTCCTAGTATGGGAAGAAGGTGTTGATGTAAACACACAGTGAAGTCCCTGTATGGGAAGGAGGTGTTGATGTAAACATACTGTGAAGTCCCAGAGGGAGGTTGCTGCAGTTAGTACTCTGGGAGACGACACCATATACATGTAGTAGGAAGGTAGTAGTTTCATATAAAGATAATGAACGTTCAGTTCCAAAAACTACGTTAAGGGCGGAAGCGGGTTCTCAACACAACAGGGTTATGAGCCCAAGTACTATCCACTGCGAGCACGCTTCGGGCGTGAGCTCCAATACGACGGATATGAAGCTCTACACCAAGGATGGTATCCCAGTGAACTGGAATGGAAAGTTCTGGCACACGTACTTCGAAATGATGAAGATGACGTTCAAGTGAAGGATGATAACAGCAAGATTAAGATCTCGCAAGGCATATATGCTAGGAAGATATTGGACAAGTTTGGGTTTAACAATGCACACGCAGTTGGCAATCCGCTCGAGACCCGACAAAAGCTATTAGCGGCAACAATGGATGACAAGACAGAAATGGACAAAAGTTTTGATTATCGCGGGGCCTTGGGTATGCTGATGTACCTTGCGACATGCACCCGACCTGATCTTGCGTATACTGTGGGTCAGTTAAGCCGATTTGTTGCTCAGCCATCAAAGCAACATGTTGGTTGTCTCAAGCGCGTGCTTCGGTATTTAGCTGGTACAGTTGATCATGGTATCGAATACAAGCGTGACGCTCACATCGATCCACCGCAGATCAACATCCAAGGGTATTGCGACAGCGATTGGGCCTCGGATACTGAAGACCGAAAGAGTACTGGTGGATTTGTTTTTACGCTGGCAGGAGGTGCAATTGCTTGGTCAAGCAAGAAACAGCCTATCGTAGCACTTTCCACAGCTGAAGCCGAATATGTTGCCGCCTGTGAAGCATTTATGGAAGCAGTCAGCGAGCGAAATGTGATCAGTGAGGTCTTACCGACAATAAACATGGAGGTCAGAATTGGAATCGATTGTTAAAGTGCTTACGTATTGGCCGTGAACTCAACCTACTCAAAGCGCACAAGACACATCGAATTGCGGTGGCATTTCGTCCGAGAGCAAGTCAAGCTGAAAACGGTATTGTTTGAAAAGGTGCCCGGTGAGTCGAATCCAGCAGATGCATTTACAAAGGCACTCGACAAACGCCGACTTGCGCGTCTATCCTACTCGATCGGTGTGCGAGGCTAGCCTCGAGGGGGGGCGTGTTGTGAAAAGCATATCAGTGTGGTACGAAGACTTTCCCGACGTTTGAGTTGAAGGGTGAGTACCCTTCGCGTACTACAGAAGGATTCGATGGATGACTTCGGCAGAGAGTGAAGTCCTAGTATGGGAAGAAGGTGTTGATGTAAACACACAGTGAAGTCCCTGTATGTGAAGGAGGTGTTGATGTAAACATACTGTGAAGTCCCAGAGGGAGGTTGCTGCAGTTAGTACTCTAGGAGACGACACCATATACATGTAGTGGGAAGGTAGTAGTTTCATATAAAGATAATGAACGTTCAGTTCCAAAAACTACGTTAAGGGCGGGAGCGGGTTCTCAACACAACAGAATACGCTTCCTGCGCTTGCCATGTGGACGTTGGACGCGGCGATAGGATGCTTGGTCCGATCTTTTCGTTCCCGCGCCAGATCGCGTATCAAGCTTTCTACGAGTCCTTCCAATCTGTCCATCAGGTCGCTCTTATGTTCAGAGGCCCCACTCTCACTCTTTCAAGATGACACCGCGTCGTCACTCGCTCCTGCGCTGACTCGGGTTATGGTCGGGTCTGCAGCATTGGTAGCGGCGTTGGCAGCGTGAGTGGCCTGTGGGTCCTTTGGGCTAATAACCTGTTGTTTGTCCATGTGCTCACGAAATGGTAGATGTAGAACTGAAAAATATATTAGACGACTTACAATGCAAACTTGGATCCGTACGTTACCTAGAACTCTCTTGTGCTCTTTCCATCAGTCGCCTCTTGCCATCAGTCGCTCGCCTCTTGACTTCAGTCGCTCGCCTCTTGCCATCAGTCGCATCTCTCTCCAAAAGTTGCTGCGTTTCAACAGGTAGATGATGCCAGCTGTTTCATGGCCCGTAACTCCTGAGTTATGAAATCGAATAATGTCGTCAAATCAGTCATCCGGGTTTAACACGATGAAATCGCCTTGTGATATGCATCATACAACGCATAGTGGATTCCCGCTACTCGCTTCTACGATGAAACGGAAATCTCCTAAGCAGGGCGTATATTCGTCTGTGCTGAAGAGACCTCGCGCTTGTCGAAATTAAGTAGACCATTATCGTGCAGCTGGCGTCGAAATAAGTAGTCCGACGCCGTGGGTTCGACTGCGGCACAACGTGGTATGCCTTTCGTTTTCAAGAATTAGAAAGTGGTGAGGACCACATTATCGAGAGAGGCTATAACACACCGTTAATTTGTGCTGGAAGCAACCTTTTTCGAAGCAGCCTGAGGGCCCCTTTATATTGCAAAAGTAGTAGGGCGCTTCGCTCCTACTTACCCTGACTAGGTTTTATGATGCACAAAGCTAAAGACCTTGCAACAAATTTGGCTATGCGTCCTTTGGAACGGGGTGAGCCTGCTTGCTACGCACTGTTTTCAATGCGTAGCCCCCAGTGACCTGTTACATTCTTGGCCCTTCTTTTTGGCGGACGGCAGATCAGTCCGCTCCGTGTTACAAAGCAGTGAACAACTAAGCTCGTAATCACCGTGTATTACATTCGGAACTCGTAGCGTATTGCGATCACTTGTATTCATGAGAGCGAGGTGAAGGGCCTTCAAAGTATCAGTGCATGATGGACTCTGGACCCCGCTTATAGGGCTGGTTGGTAAACGATGAATAACCTAAAATACGAAAGAATGCTATAGGCTAATTTGCTCCTGACACTCTGTGGCCATAGAGTGACCAAGAGACTTTATCTCGCGCAGAACAGGAAGGACTTGACAATAAAGTCATTACGACTCGTGATAAGCACGCCAACCTTTTTTCAATAATGGGAGTACAATGATACAGCTTACGAGGTATAGCTACACATGGTCGTGAGCGTATATCTCACACAGATTCTGCTTAACGACGGCACCTTCTCGGACGAGTACAAGTATCTCTGCGCACCGGCCCAACTTTAAAATGCGTTTGACCTTTGCGACTTCATTCATAGCAAATCACACACTGCATTGATGTCGGGCTCTGTATTTCTGCAAGCTTTTTTTGCGGACTCACTAACGCTTGTGGTATCCAAATAGTCGTCTTGCTTCAGCCGAGTTTTTGCTTTATGTTCAAAGGGTCGATGTGAAGAATAGAGACTAGAGACACTTGTCACAAAACACCGACAAAAGTTCAAATGCAATGCTTTGCAGTTCGTAGCGATCGCCCAATACCGAGCAGGTAACAGCACCAGTGTCCTCGAGTGCAGACAGCTCACAGCAGACAAGCACACGGACGAGCAGTCACTCCGCGAGTAAGTCCTCCCTGCCAACTTGCGTCAAATGTGGCGTGTAATAGACGGGTGGACTGGAGAGCCCCAAATGTGCCAAACAAAAACTTTGTGCAATGAGGATCCGGACATTCGTCGATATTGGCAGGCGCTGCGCGATGTTCGACGTGCGGACAGTTGGCGCAAAGCCGTAAAGCGCGACGTAAAAGCTCAGGAATAGACACGAGACAATATTGGCCAGAGATGAGCCCGTGGTCATCCCTGAAAAGCACTGCGATTGATACGTCTACGTTGGCCTCTACTGGGCTATACAAACGATTTGTACGTTAGTCACACGACCCCTTTCTTCGTCGATGGTGGTGTCGCTTTCCCTTCGTTCGCAGGTCGTCAAGTTGGAGCCTATGTATCTGAGTAAAATCTCGCCTTTTGTCAAAGTACATATCCGAGCCGCTCAAGCTGTGAGCATTCAGGTAAACGGACGTGATATTTTGCTTAAAAAGGTGCACCACTGTATTCCTACCCGAATTCTCACCTCATCGCCACCTTCTTACGAAAACGAATTCTTCTGTCGGTCTGTCTGCGGCATACAAATTGACAGATAAGGCGACACAAAAACTGGCACAATTTTCGCGACACACATGACTTACGACGACCAGACGCCTTCGAGTCCGTCGCTCGCTGCCTCGAAAAAGCGCCGCCGGCGGTCGTCTTCCTACGGCGACGTACCTTCGTACGACCACTCGCTATGTGCTGTGCCCGCGATGGTGCGGAGAAAGACGAGCGACGCGCGCGTGACGGGACAGAACGACGGGGGAGGGGCGTCAACTGAGCTCCACAAGTCCGTCTTGGCGTCGCAACGTCGTACTTTAGCGGAGATGGATACGTTTGTCCAGGGCTGTCACTTGTGGCAGGAGAAATTAGGGCGTTGGACGCACGAGTTGGCCGCGAGAGCACAAGTTGTCGAGACGTTAGAAGTGGCAAAAGTCGTGCAGGACCTCGTGACGAGTGTAGAGACACAGACGGTGCAGACGGAGTTGTGGACGAAGCAGGTGGAGCTGCAGTGGGCACGTTGGACGCTGAAAGACACGGAGAGGTACGTGACAGAGCTGCTGGAAGACACACGAGGGACGGAAGAGTTTCGAGCGATAGAGAAGCAATTGCAGGACGACCGAGTGGTGGAGCTCGAGATGCAGTTGGCTCAGAAACGAGCTGTAGAGCAGGAGAAAGCCACGGAGCTGTCGTTACTGAGAGCAGGCGAAGAACAGCTGATGCACGCGCGTGGTCTGGCGCTGCACGAGGAGTTTGAAACGTTGTCAGCGGAGAAAACTGCGATACAAGCTGATGTGAAGCGATGGACAGAGAAGATAAAGCACCAGGAACGCGAACTAGCATGTGTAGACGAAGAGCGTCGAAACGTGGAGGAACAGAAGCGGAAGCTGGTGGAAGAAGTGTGTCAGGTGCGTGAGCAGCAGCAAGCGAGAGAGTCGCAGGTTACAAAGCAGAACATAGAGAAGGCGAACGAAAACGAAAAATTACAGGCCAAGTTGATGGCGGCTGAAACCAGGGAAGTGGCGATGGCGGCGATGCTAAAAGCCGCAGAAAAAGCGATGGAGATACACAAGCAGCGCAAAGAAGAGCTCGAGATCCTGTACACTAAGTTCAGCTCCGCTATGGACGCCGTGTCTGACAAAACAATGCGGCTAGAGGAACTGGAACAGGCGCTGAAAGACTTGCAGAAGGTTGTGCGTCGAAATGAAGACCTCGAGAAGCAGGTCGCTCAGCTGCAGCAGGAAAATTCAGATCTGTCAGCTGCCGCACATCGTTTCGAAAATGACATGAAGGAGAAAACGATTGCGGTGCAAAAGCGACTTGATGAGGTGAAAAAGTCAGAAAATCAACAGAAGGAGCGTGCAAGTCGATTGGAGGCCGAGGTTGCAGAGCTGAGGGTGCAGAATGAGGCTCTGAGAAAAGAAAACGTCAAGCATACGTACGAAGGTGTTGGACAACCGCCTGAGGAACGCAGCGAGCCGAGCACGGACGTTGCGGACGACCTGGTGGTCCAAGTTGCTGAGAAGGAAGCGCTGCAGATGTTCGTGCATCGCTACTATACTGCTGCAGAAGAGAAATGCACGAGCTTGCTTAGGAGGGTCAGCGATTTGGAGTTGGAGTTGGAGAAATCGCAGCAAAGCCAGACACAGACCGAATAGTCGTGCAGTGATTTGCGTATGTGTGGGCTCATGGAGATCCATGACGACATATGTGCCTAACGTCGCAGCCACGCCGAAAGATTGTACATGACGCAGGACGAGCTGTGTTGCTCTCAGATACACTCGCTCGCACGGCAAAAGTCTGAGCGTCAAAAACAAAGGTAGCTCTGAATACGGTCAGAGCATTGCCACACTTAGCCATAGCTGGGAAAGTTGGAACGGACATGGACTCAGGCATGACAGCGTCTTGGCTATAATATTGGGGAGGGATATATGAGTTGAAGTGATGGCGCGTAACGACAAACTCTGATACCTGCTGTGGTCGAAGTTTACATAGTACGACCGACGGAATTGATCCTCGCACGTCCGGTCAGATACCAATGGCGTGCAGTGAAGGATTTGCCTATCGTCGGGCAAGAACTCTTGATCAAGTGGTGAGCGCTTTGTCGTGCAGATGGTCACGTGTCGGTAACGGCAACAAGACGTACAGCGGATTGGTGCGACTTGCAAACATCTGACTTTGCTGCAGCAAAAAGCGTATCACTGCGCTTGTGTGTTCTGCAAAATGAAATTGAGGCCGTGAAAGTTTGTGAAAGAAGTGAGCGGCGAGCTTATCGAACTATCATGCTCGAGTTTAAATACTGTTTGACGCCAGTCATGCTGCTGGAAGCGCATATTGGAAAGCGTGGTAGTTTTCGTTGGGGAGCGATCGCGGCACGAAAAGGACGTGACTGAGGTCGCAGTTACCTCGTGCTCGTGGAGTCAACGTGGACAAGCACGTCGCACGACTGGTAGTCATCCCATTCGAATGATGTAGCTCGTCGCTCGGTATCTTTTGTCGCTAACGATATACGACAAGGCATCGTCATTTACTTGCGGTACCTTCGTGTAAGGCTAATGCACTGCTCCGCTAGACTAACTGGCCGACTTCGATGCCCTTCGACCACTTTATGCGTGTCAAGCTACACATCGAATCCTCTCCTATGACTCGGATGTGTATCTGACTTGAAAGACGTCCCATTGACAGAGCTCTCTTTACAGGGTGTCTAGAAAGCTTCTCAAAGCGGCAGCCTATAAGCTACCCGCAAATGTCCTTGTCAACCTTTGCGCTCTGTCAGGCATGGCAATGTACAACAAGATGCATCTTAGCTTTGATCAGATTCATGCACAGCTAGCACAAATGAAAAGCATGTCACGCAGTTGGCTAAAGGTGCTTCGAACGAATGGCGATAGCAAAAACAATTTGATGTCAAGACGTTTGTCGTCACCTTCGTCATTTTTACGGATCTAGTAGCCACATTCTCCTTTTCTAGCTACGACAGACTTGCAGCTGGGTGTCGGATCATCGTCTCTTCGATCGTCGACGGTAGTAGTGATCGTGCAGGGTGTGATTGCAATGATATCTGCTGGGCCAACGAACCTCTCGTTGCGGTACACACCTTAGCGATCATGTCGTAGCCATCGACGCGTTTACTTATCACACAAAACTCGGCGCCAAACGACAGACGCAAAGGTATGTATACGCACTGTAGCTTGCGACAAAGAGAGCCACTTTCTTTGCCCTGGCCAAGTTTGCATCTACATTACCAGGGCAAAGAAAACGGGGCCGTTTGTCGCAAACTACGCTGTCGTCGGCGTGAAGGAGATACGAGAATTATATCCTGGTCATACTCGTGCGCACAGGCCTACTGACACGCCTCCTTTATGACCATCGCGATTAGGAACAATCCTACTCAATTGCACGGAAGCTACTGTGGCATATTTTGAGCAGGGTATGCACCACTTGCTGGTAGATGCAACAGAACTCGCGTTACAATCCTTTATGAGGACGTCGCAGCTGAGGGCAGTATCAAAGAATTATGGGAATCAGGTATGCGGCAACACGAGGCTGTGGCGAAGTGGCACTGAAGGGCCGCAGGGATACGCACATTATACATTTGTTTTCATGTCAACGCAACATCGTCGTACAAATCCAAGAGCCGTGATCCAGGGCGGCAAGCTTCGTACAGTCATCGGACTTGCTCGAAGAATCGGCATTGCCAACCAGACTTAGATCATCCCCGACACACTGCAAGCCATTAAGCTTAATGGACACGTCTGCCTCTCTTTTTAGATGTGGTATCGTCATCGACGATGTTGCGTTATGCGTTGTGTCACGGCAAGACATCATCGCACGACACTGAAATTGTCTAGATACTGCACAATGGATGGTCGGCAAAGTCATAGCTTTGCACCGCGCAAGCACGAAGTGTGTGTGATCCTTTCCTTCAAATCGTATTCCGCTTGTAACTGGGACGGTATGTATGTATGTATGCTGCATCGGCTATCCTTTTGGGTGAGGGACGTGATAAGTACCGGATTTGCTCACATACGCACTTGTTGTTGTTGTTGATGTGGCAGTAAAAAGAATGTGATTAAAATTTGCTTGAAACATAGATAGCAATCCACTCAGCTTCGAATGTCAAAAGAAATTGTCTGTTTTAATATTCGTCTGTAAAAAGACTACGGTGGACGTGCATCTGCAGATTTTCTATTCGATGGTTCTGTTTGTTGAGGTGGCAGTCGTGAAGGGGATCCATATTGAGGAACCGTGCACATTGTAAAAGGACGAGCTTTATGGTAGCGAGGCGTATACGCATTATGGGTGCAGCGTTCACGTAGACCCTCCCTCTTTACTTGTGGAGATACGAACGCAATCAGCAGCTCGCCTTCCCAATCCGATATACACTTTCCATGAACAAAACAAATCCACTGGCACCTACACTCGCTGTTGAGTAACTTTCTACAGTAGCACACGGGCTCCTTTATCCTGTAAGCACTGTCTCGGATCCAGCTTATTGTTTCTGCATCTCATTAGACAGTCGAGATGAAAAACAACGTATCTACGACATACCTCAAACACGTCGCACAGGACTTGTTCGGCTGCCACGCCAGTCCACTGGTCGAACCCTTTTGCCCTTCTCACTTGTTGACATCGGAGCCTGAGGTCTTCGTTGTCGAAGCGTGTAGTCCTACAATTCGTCCCAGATTCTGACGCGTAGCTTTTGTCATTCGAATGAAAAGCACTTGTGTTACTCGTTTAGGAAATGGGAAAAGCTGAATTGCATTTGTGACATTTCATTGACCCACTCTGGTGTCAATGACATGTAACGGGGTGAGCCCGTTACAATAGTCTTACTCTGTGTAGCCAATACGGATTACATCCCATACTCACTTATCTGCCACTTGTGTAATGCAATATAAACGGAAAGGTCTCATGTTGCACACGCATCGTTTACAATTGCTCTTCACTACGCATCTTGCTCCGCCTCATAAAGTGCTACGACTTACCGTCATCGACGATTGTGCGTTGATCTCGTCACGTGTCTCTTGTGAACGCATACATACATACATACATACATACATACATACATACATACATACATACATACATACATACATACATACATACATACATACATACATACATACATACATACATACATACATACATACATACATACATACATACATACATACATACATACATACATACATACATACATACATACATACATACATACATACATACATACATACATACATACATACATACATACATACATACATACATACATACATACATACAAACGCAATCGTTTTCAGCACGACCATTCTACCAAGGGTCATCTTATCTCTGCATCACGTTGACATAGCAGGGCGAGTGAGCTTCGATCGTATGAGGAGGTGAATGTATGGATCGCTTACTGTTGTGGGGGTAGTCAGCGATCCATGCACTCACCGCCGCAAAACATTTGTACAAAGTGCGGGGGTGGTAGGACGTCACAAGAGTTATTCAAGATTTATCTGAACAGCAGAACACGGAAATCGTAAGATCCACGATGTGATCAATCAGTCGAAAGTCCACTTTGCTTCGTGTCTTGATCGAACATCGAGCACAGTGACACTCGATTATGCTGCATTCACGACACAGTCGTTCTCTTTGTATTTGCACGATACTGTGATGCTTGCTTCGTAGAAGGCCCGCATTCAGTCACAAAAGGTGCTCGCATTAGTGCAACCATCGTGATGAACAACCATGTGGTTGACGGATCCGAATCCCGATCCGACATTATCAGGCCATTGCGTACACTGGAAATGTCGCCAATCGATACGACGAATTCACATGGCTGTCAACGACGGATCCCTTTTTCACTGCGATATTTGTATGTTCGTACTCATCGCGTACGTCTTTTGCACTTTGTATCGTTCATCTTTTTATCGTGCGACATGTATCATTATTTTACATGCCCTTGGCTATTGCTGTTCCTGTTCCAGTTTGTGGCACGTTGTTTACTTTCATTCATCGTGACGGATATGTTTATCGTTCGTCGACACAAATGAAAAAGGTTCGTCTAACAAGGACTGTACACGTTCGAGATGTGTTTGTGCGAAGTAAACAAGTCGCACATCTGAACATATTGTTTTGGGTACACGAGCGAACTAATCAGACCGCTGACACGAACTGCACAGCGTTTACAATTTGCACTGGTGTCATTGCACATTGAGAAGCTCAAGACGGATTACAGCGACGTAGGCGACTGGGAACGACGTGCTACGCTGATGAGAACAAAATGCGGCATCGCCATTTACGAGTAAGATGAAGCTACAATACAGTCGATCAAACAGCAATCGCGAAGTACAGGCCTTTTGTGCTCTTTCTTCCAGTTGCGAGAGCAAACACAACTCGACCCTGCGTCACCTATACGCTAGTCAAACGAATACAACGTGAATAAACACGAGCCTGACGTCCACTCGCGTCGCATTCCATTTACGTCAATGATCGGACCCGCTACTTTTCGCTATTCCTCGGACAGCGAGGAATGGCCATAATGCAAGCCATGCCACGGTGCACTTCTGCCTCGAGGTATGGACCATCCATCAACTCGCCGTCCACGCACATAAGGTCGTCAGCCCGATCCGGCATGATCTTGAACGCTCGTGTGCGCACATGCTGCACGCCCTTCTTGTCCACGTGCCCGCCCGTTTCAATGGCCAACATCATAGCGACCAGGTTCCTGCGAGAGTGTGAGCCATCCATGAGCGTGATGTAGTTGAAGCCGTCGTCCAACTCCGCGTCGGGAGCAACGTGAGCGTCGGAAGCCGCGTGTGATACGTTCATCGTCCAGACGACACGGAAATGACCGCATAGCTCCTTCCACTTACCACCCTTGCCAGCGTCCTTTTCAGTCTTCGTTTGGATCTCTTCTCCAGTCGTTTGCTGCAAAACGCCAGACAAATCTTGACCCTTTCCAACGACCAAGTCCATCTTAGGCCGATCCGTCGACTCGGGATCGTGCTTCTCAAAGTACAGCGGAGGGTTTTCGTTCTCGTCTTCTTCAAGGTACCAAATTTTGCCCGGATAATCGGGTCTCTGGAACAGCAACTGGTTCACAAATGATACCGTGAACCGCAGTCCGCCTAGCATACGCAGGTTTTCCGATCCAATGTCGACATCAGCAATGGAAGCCCACTCCAGCGACAAGAACGAGTACGTCGTCTCTTTTCCATTCGACACCGACGTGATGTCCAAGTTATGCGGCATACCCTTCGCCAAGATATAAGCAGCATTCACCGGCTTGCCCTCTTCACCGCTTCGATGGCAGATAGAGTGCGCGAGACCGTTGCCCGATCCACCAGGAATGACCCCGATCGGTTGTCGAATGGCTCTGTTCCAGTCTGCTCGTTTCATCAAACCCTGTACAACTGCAAGCAGCGAGGCAAACACTGTTGGACCCGATCTATCAAGACATGCCGCAACACACACCTGCACCACGTACTCTCGTATAAAGTGCCGTCGCCGCCCACCCCCACGACACAGTCGTACACACCCAACGGCATCTCCATCACGGCTTCCGTCGCGTGCTGCGCGTGGTCCATGATTTTTACATCCGTCGTTACATTGGCATGCTGAAACAGCAGTGCCACCTTGTTCTCGTAGATCTGCATCGCACGTCCTGCAAGACCCACCATTACCACCACCACCACCACCACCATCAACAACAACAGAATCAGCACAACACTCTCTCCCTCTCTCCATTCCGCTCTCCTGCTTTCAATGCTGCAGTCACCTGGTCCACTGACAGGGTTCACTAGCACCAGGTACTTGCGTGGCGGTCGCTCGACAAGCTCCAGGTCGTCCAGCGTCTCGACCTTCTGCACGCTCTCCTGGTTCCTCGGGTCCGCTAGAAAGTTAATGCACTGCTGCAGCCTGACAACCTGTGGCAGCTGCTGTCCAGTACATCGAAACACGAACTCGCTCGTCTTGCGCTTCTTCAACGTCTTGGGCCTGAGCTGCTGCGAGCCGCAGACGTACAGAGTCAACACGAACGAGGCATTGGGGTCTGCCCCAGTAGTATAGTCCACTGCCGCGTCAATAGGCTTTCCGTCCGCTGTGCGCACGTGGGCGCCCAAGACGTCGTCCCACGCGGTCTCTTCTGTGCAACTGTCGACGCCTTCGATTACACAGTGCGACGGTGTGAGGCGAAAGCGCGCGGGCCGGTGGCTCCCAATGCACCACAGAGTCGGCACGACGCGCGTCAGGTGTAACTCGGTCAGTACAGAGGACAGCGCGGCGGGTGGGGGGCACTCGGGAGGACGGGAGGCGGCAGGTGGGGGCAGCTGCAAAGCGGACGAGGGCGTCGACATCTGAGGATGAGATGTTTTGCTCAGGTGCGAAGTTGTGGACTGCCGATGGCGAGCGACTTGGCGCGCGTGACAGCTGCGATGGGAGAACCGGCGGACCAGAGAACCTGTGGAAACGAATATAGAGCGCCGTCGACGACGACGACAAGTGCGCACCGGCGGGCGGGCGCACGTAAAAAGGTGCGGAATCGATGAGGCGATCGCGAGTGTGCCAAAAAGCGATCGCGAGTGTGCCAAAAGGCGATCACGAGTGTTCTGTGCCGACGCATTGAGACTGACTGACGCCTGCCGTGGAGGTAGCAACAGTAATGGCCACTATGCACGATATGGTGACCGAGTCACGAAGCGAACGTGTTGTCGAGTTACGGGCCGCGTTGGAAGCTGTCGAAAGGTTTGCCCTTCTGCACTAGAGACAGTGTGTAGCTAGAACGCCGTTGATGCTGCACCCTCGCATTTCTCTTGCTGGTCACGAAGCACGTGCGTGTCGAAGCGTTGACGACCAGCATTGGTCCAGTATTAATGTCTCGTGTGCACAGCATGTCTGCAGACAATTACCTCGGGAGTTACGATCATCTCACACACACGCACGCACGGACATACTTTGTTTGGTAGCGCTAGCAGACGAAACAGAAGAATCGAGTTGAATAGCATTTCAACGTTTAGCGGCTACTCGATTGATAGCCTGCCACGAAGAAAGAAAAGTCACCGAGTCCTGATGCCCACGTAGAAGTGTGCTGTCCGCCTATATGCATTATCTACTCCATCCTTAGCTGTGGCTTTTGTCCTTAACAATCGACGCCTGCCGAGTTTTGCTCGGCAAGTAAATGGTCGGCACGGTCGTGCAAACCAGCAACTTGTTCATGAGAGTGCAGATCCCAATACGTGTGCCGACCAGCGATTCTGCGGAATAGATTTGGTCGAAAACGCTCTCTATCATCGCCGCTATCGGCACACGAAATACTCTGTCCGTTATTCCATCATCACAGAGACAAACGCGGCAACAACTGAAGGAAAAGATGGTCGGCCACTGCTAAGCATCGAGGCCGTATTTCGGCAGTTTGTAAGTGCAATATCATAGTTCGTGGAACAAGGATTTGACCTCCACACCTTCAATTCGCTTCCCAGAAAAGATGCCTCTTTATCGTGGTTTGTCGACGCTAGCATCTCCACATTACTCCCTTTCTACATAACTCGCCTTACTTGACCTTTCATTAGGGCGCTGGCTTTGGGCGATCGGCAAATCATGTATGAAATGGATGCGACGGTAAGAAAAGATAGTGTAGATAAGGGATGGGGGCGTCACTGCTGCCTTGCGGTAATGGAATGTGAGTCTCTTATAGTGAGTGTGAAAATTCGAGTCTTCTCAACCCTGTCCGTCATTGAGAGTTTTGCACGAAATTAAACTGCGATTCGTTTTCTTAGCATTATGTATATCAGCAAAAAGTCAAAACTGTATATATGATGTACGTATATTTTGGTCTTTCGTCTTTGCTTCTGCATGGCACACATTGTCCTTCTCAGAACGA